AAGTAAGGATTAAAGGATATTCGGGTGCACTGGGTAGGAGACTTCTAAAATAAGCATGTGAATGTAATACTAGAAAAGTATTTTTAACCCCTTCCCCCTTCCCTCGTCTCTATATTTATGTACAGTTATTGTCATGAAAGTTATATAATAATAAGATAATTCAGAGAGAGAGAGAGAGGAGAGAGAGAGAGAGAGAGAGGAGAGAGAGAGAGAGAGAGAGAGAGAGAGAGAGAGAGAGAGAGAGAGAGAGAGAGAGAGAGAGAGAGAGAGAGAGAGAGAGAGAGAGAGAGAGAGAGATTCATGTCAGGGTGTGTGTGGTGTGAATAGTGTCAGCACACACTCGCCACCAGCCACTAACATACAATTTAAACTATTTTTAAATGTAATGTATAATGTTTTGCGTATCATTAATACATTTTGGAGGTTTATATTTAGCAAATACGGAAATATAAACTGTTACATGTAATGTATATGTCAGTGTCGGCTGTATATTGGAGATTCATGTAAAATAGTTTAATTTTTGGGTTGCGTTACAAATATTTTTACTTAGGTTTTTTTGCTGCAGCTCAAGTGAATTTCACAGATGCATCTTCGATGAGCCACTGCGCAAATAAAGACTTGAACTTGAATTATGGCTCAGATTTCTCTCTCTAAAGAAACCAGATACATCATAATGTGATCTGATAGTATACTGGGAACATGAGGCACATGAAGAGTATTATTCATCCATTTGTTGAATCCTGGGTCTTAATATACAGTCTGTGGTTTTAATATGTTACGTGCAATGAATCACTGGTAGATATTTTATTGTGGCAGTGAGGTGGGGTTACGTCGCACTCTGCTGGTGGAAATACATATTTAAAATATATGATACATATATGACAAGGGTAGTCTTATAAAAAATATATATATATATATTCCTGGAGCATAGTATCACAGAGAATCTGTAAAATGAGTGTACACATCTTAGTGTCAAACTTATCATTCATATCACATCATATTTTCAGTTTTTAAGCAGTACATTGACAAGGTTACTTTGCTAAATATATAGGATTAACAATATGAAACACTTGCACATCAATATAGTCAATAGACTCTAGGCGCTTGTCAGCAGCTATAAATCAAAACCGTCTTTAAAGGGCCCATGTCATGGCCATTTCTACTGATCATATTTCCATTGTTGAGGTCTACTAGAATAGATTGATATTGTGCAATGTTCCAAACTCACATTGGTTTCTCATACAGCATCTCTGTATAGTATGTGTATTCACTCTCTGTTCTAAACGGCTTGTTGGAGCTCCTGCCCCCCCTCCCTGTGAGCCCAGTGGCCGTCTGCGAGATAGCGAGACACAGCTAAACCCAGCCCGAAACCAGCCCGAGCACACACACACCACACCCGCAGCCTGGCTGGGAGTTTGTGTGTGTGCTCAGGCCAGCTCACACTGTCCGCTCCTCGCAGCAGCGAGCCTCGCAACGTCCCGCCGAGTGTGTGTGTGTGAGGAAGACTTAACGTAACGGCTCCGCGGACGAAATGTTACTTTGCGTTACGTCACTATACCCAAATACATCTACGCAGCAGTAGAAATAAGACAACAATTGTCATACACATCAGAATTTCCAAAATTAGATGAACAAATTAAGTTTTATTGTATTTCCTAAGAATACATCTAAAGAAACACATTAATTTAATAGAAAAAACAAAAGTTATCATAGTTACTGTAGATGAGCAGTGATTTTATAATCCTGTGAATTTACACATTCACACAGGCGGTGATTTTATACCAGCTGTTTGTCCTGCATTTGGCAGCACCACCAGTCTTGAGTGTGGATTAGGACTTTGAAAATTGCTTTTTGTGTGTAGGATGATGTACTTAGCTACAGTTGCATTTCATTGTGACACCCTGTGTTGCATTATGACGATAAATTAAACTTAAATGTTAGTGTAAGCTTGTTCAGTACACCTAGCCGTAAGGTAGTGACCTCTGTGATGCATTCAAAGTCACTGAAACAGACAGTGCTGACCTCAGGGCAAAACACACCCACTAGGTACACACACACTGAGACAACGCTGAGCGACTAAAAGCAAATGACAGAGGACTTCTTGAATTACAGTCGGTCAGCACGCCCAACCCCCCCGACCCTCTGTTAAAGAGGGAAGGACTGAGAGGGACAAATAATCAATTATGGCTGGATGAGGAATTAATCAGAGGTTGAAGAAGTACTCAGGTTTTAAACTTAAAGTGGACCTATTATGCTATATTTGAAAAATGTATTGTAGGGCCATACCTATACAAAACACATATGTGAAGTCTTTTGCCTAAAATACCAAACAGATCACCCATTGTAGCCATGCCTCATACTGCTCATACCCCTCTATTCCAGCCCTGTTCCAAAAAGGCTGATTCTGCTTTAAGTGGAACGGCTGCTGCTAGCCACGCCCCTTTGTAGCGTCACGCAGCTTTCCCCTGCTAAGAGAGATTTCTACCAGGAGAAGCTCAGCTAAACGCTGCAGTGATTAAATGCCATATTATGCTCCCAACCACTTCAACTCAAACCTTTCTCTCTCGCAGGGTTTACCACAAGGACATTACGTTACACATATTCTCTGCAGTAGCCTACAGCGTTAGCTCCATGGCTAGCTCTGAGTGTTAGCATGCTTGCTAATGTAAAACACACAGCATATTACTCCCAAAACACGCAGCGCATTATTTCTGATACAGCACATAGCTTGACATGTTATTTCTTAAGTGTTTACTGCTAGAACAGTGCCATTATATGTATTATATATAACAACATTACTCTAAGTGCCTCCTGCAGACATCCTGCTGAATACACAGACACACAGCTGCGACTGTATACGGAGACGATAGGTTGGGACGTGTCACGTGTGCCGGAGACGATAGGTTGGGACGTGTCACGTCGGCCGGATGTCGCCAATGACGTTATAGGCAGGGGTGCACATAACTTTTTTGCCCTGGTTCTCAAAGGAGCACCTGGAGATGTTGCTTGGTGCTCATCCTTAAAATGAAATAAACCGTAACTTTTGAGGGGGTCTTGACTTTATTTGCCAGACACACGGCACTGAACACACATGCAGAGGTGAACACAGAACAGACATGCAGAGGTGAACACAGAACACACATGCAGAGGTAAACACAGAACACACATGCAAGATTTATCCCAATAAGAGTGCCTTGGAAATATGTGTTTACATAAATTGTGACCAAACCGTTTGAACTTAGACTAAAGTTAACTAGGCTATCTAAACACTCAGAGTCCTTTACCTAACTGAGCTGTAGTTATCAGCCTCTCAGTCTGACTGGAAAGGACTCTCCCTCCTCCCTCCCGCCAACATCCCCCATTTTCATCACTTACAGCGCCCATTGTACAGGGCAAATGAAACGTGTAACCGGGGTGAAAAGGGTGTTACATTTACTTAATTATGAATATTGTTACATCAAGGCCGAAAATTAGGATGAGCACCTACGGTCAAAAATGTTTTTTTCCCTCCCAGAACTGCCAGTGCAGCGAGATGCAGAGCATCTGGCGCCCTAGGCGAACATCTATAACGCCAGTGCTACGGGCCGGCCCTGAGTTCATATCATAGGTTCATATGCAACTCGCAAATATATTTATCTCTCTCTCTCTTTTCTCTTTTCTATTCTCCCTTCTCTCTCTTCTCCTTCTCCCTCTCTCTCTCAATGTTGGTACGCAAATGCGGCTTTTTTCAAATGACACGGTGCTCTTTTTTTGGCGGAGATGTGGGTACGGAGGAAAACACCGGGGGACACGTATTTATGTATAAAAGACATCAACAAGTGCATTTTGCATAATAGGTCCCCTTTAAGTAAAAGTAGCAATATTAAAATGTATTGAGTCCTGCATTCAAAATCTAACTTGTGTAAAAGTACAAAAGTATTGGCATCAAAATATATCACAGTTCTGACCTTCTGTGTTGAAGTATCATCGTGCTTAGGGGTCTGTTGAGAGTTGCTTTGTGATCATTTTAATGAAAAAATTATCTGTGGAGAACACTTCGATATCTGTACTGCAAGACCAGAAACATTGTATATCTTTAAGTGTCTTTATTTTTGTATGTACACTCTCATTTGATTTGGGTTAATTTAGAATTCATTATCACACATTTTGAAATAAACTTTTAAGAACACAGATTACCTGAACTGGTATTTTCACTATCACTTACAATGATGGTTCAATAAGTAGTAAAAGCAGCGTTATAAAATAGTTACAAGTAAAAGTCCTGCATTGGAAATGCACCTATTATACAAAATCCACTTTTCATGTATTTTATCAATTAATATGTCACCTCTGTGTTAAAAAGTGTCAGGAACAAAGACCCCCTCTCTTTTTGTCTTGATCCATTTATATAAAAACCTGTCTGAAAATGAGCTGATTTTGGCCACTTTATGATGTCATAACGATTTTTTGGCTTGTGTAAACCATTGGCCAATAACCAACCAAGGTAAACCCCCCCCCCCTTTTATTATGCGATGCTGCAATGATGTTTGGTGTCTCAGTCACACACTTCAGAGACAGGTTCTATATATAACTGAGACCTACAATATATTGTTGACAAAGACTATAATAGGGGACATTACATTGAAAGTAAGTATTGGCATCAAAATGTAGGCTACCTAAAGTAGCAAAAGTAAAAGTAGGCCTACTTGTTAATTTGTTATGCATAACAGCTTAATTACTGGATTATAATTAATGTTAAAGGTCAAAATAGAAAATGGCCTTTATGTGTAATTATTTTTATATGTGAAATTTCTTTCTTTTTGATTATTGTTGCATCACATTTGACTGTTGTAGACAAAGTTCTGAGTGACTTTTCGTAAAATATTTAAATAATTTGACTCTTGTGACTGAGTTAGTCCACTATTACATTTCTAGGGATGCATTTAGTTAAAAGTAGCTAAATGTGTTAAGTAAAATTACATTATTTCCCTTTTGAGAGTAGTGGAGTAGAAGTAAAGTATTTCATGGAGATACTCAAGTGAAGTAGGCATACCTAAAACGTGTACAGTACAGTTTGGGTAGGCTAAATATACTTAGTTATCTCTGTCAGGGAACACCGGGTAATCTCTCACCACTGAGCCCGGCTCCTCTGTGGAGGTCCGCAGCCCGCCTCATGGAGCCCATCTTCCCCTCAGGCCCTGAGTGAGAGTGGTCCGGACTCCCGGCGCTTCCGGTGCTGGATGAACTGCTCCCGTCCCCGGCGTCCCGCAGCAGCGCCGGGTAGGTGAGGCTGCTGAGGCTGGACTGGCTGTCTATGGAGATCCGCGAGCCGGGTCCGCTCCTGTCCTCATCCAGCATGAGGAGGATCTCCTTCAGCTCCGTGTTCTCTGTCCGACTCCTCAGCGCCTCCTGACTGCCCTCCAGCTCCCGCAGCTTCTGCTGGTACAGCCCGACATCCCTCCACAGGACGCTGGCGGTGTAGCGACCGAAGCGCTGCCACTCCCGGGACACCTTCTTGCCCTTCTGCCGGTCATCGTCCAGGAAGCAGCAGAGCTCCCGGAGCTCCTGGTTCTCTCCCTGCAGTTTCTGGTTGGCCTCCTTCAGACTCCGGATCTCGTGAAGGTGCACCTGCAGGCTCCGGTTCACCTCCTTCATCATGTTTCCCTGCTCCACGATCAGGTCCATGTTGAGGCTCTCGAAGCGCCTCAGCCTCCGGACCAGGTCATCCTTCCCCAGCATCAGCAGCTCCTCGTCGGGCAGCTGGCTCACATCAGCCGCGTCCATCCCCGCAGCTTCTAATGCTGGCTGATAATCACAGAGTCCTACTAGCGGGCTAAGTTGGGTTAGACCGGATCCATGACAGCTGACAGACACACCGGGCCACAGACACAGCTCCCCGCCATTTGTCTTACTGGAAGCTCTGAGACGCGTTGAGTGCTGGCTGCAGTAGGGGACTGGAGCCGGGGAGGAGGAGGAGGAGAGGTGGTGGGGGGGGGGACACAGGTAGGTGGTGGCCTACACAGTGTCCTCTATAGGCAGCCCCCCCCCCCCCTGCCTCATTGATCAACTGCAGCTATTTTTCTTTTTTAAACATGTACACTTCATGGTGGTGCAAACTGCTCTCAGTCAGCCATATAGTTGAAGCGAATGTCTTTACTGTTACATTCATGTAGATGTTATTAGTTGTATATAATCATTTAAATGTCTTACTGTTATATTAGTGCAAAAGTATAGTTATATTCATGTTAATGTTATATTATGATATATGCATTTTGTTTTATTGTTACTTATGCAGATGTCTTATTGTAATAGTCCTTCATGCACATTTTATTATTGTTATATTACAAATGTATGTTATTGTTTAATAATGCAAATGTAGTTTTATGTGTTGTGCACCTATTTATTGTGATTTTCATGCAAACGTTTTATTGTTAGATTAATGCAAATATAATTGTTGTTATATTAATGATAACTTTTTTTGATGCAAATGATGCTGGTTATTTAAATGCAAATGGGTTATTGTTGTTATAATGCGCATTTCATTATGGTTATGTTGTTGCAAATGTTTTTATTGATATTATAATGTAAATGTTTGATTGTTGTTCAAGTGCAACTGGTATTATGGTTGTTATTGCACAGATTTGTATCGGGTTATTTATGAATAAATATGGGCGCACCATAACATGATAACCTTTTCTTAAATAGACTTATTTCAAACACAAGTCTGTGAAATAGGACAGCAGACATTACTTACTCTTTTCTCTCTCTTTTTTTCCTCTCTTTCTTTCTTTTAAATGCATGTATGTATTTATCCTGAGTGGCGCGCATTCACTGAAATATGTGCGCCTTAAGAGGGTGGACGAGGGCCTACTTTGCTTGCACACTTCTATAGACTAATAAATCAATTGACTTCTTAAATACATGAATCTCTCCTTCTTCCATGACTGACTACTTGCTGCAGTGTTCAAGACAAAAACATATATATTGTTATTATTATAGTGTTCTGGAGACGGTCAAATGAGGGCACCTGTCGCCATCTGCTGGACTCAGGCGTAACTGCATGATTATTCAACATCAACATGTTGCAACAGATATCACTCCAAGACTACAATCTACAAAAACAGCTATATCGTGCTTTGATTTACCATCAAAAACTATAACTCTTGTCGATGTTATTACAATAATTTACTATTACTCTAGTCTATGCTGATTTTGGTGTTATTATTTTTGGGATCATTTTGCTGTTATTAACTATAACTATTGTTGATTTCATTACCATCATTTACTTGTGTTATTAACTATGTCTCAAAGACGGTTTTGGTTTTATTACATTTTACTTTGAAATGATTTTGATTGTGTAACTATTACTCTAAATTAATATTGGCGATATTAACTCTTGCTGGTATTCGTGTTGGTATTATTCGACTCTCTCTCTGCCCATTTGTCCCGGGACAGCGCGAGTCACTGCGGGTCACGTTCCCCACGTCAGAGGACCATATAACGGGCAAAGTGCACACCGGAAGTCGCTTCATCTTGCAGAATCCTAACCGCAAGCCGTGATGAGGCAGTGTGTCCGGGTCCCGGGCGGGCTGGGGGTCCTGTGGGCCCTCACGGTGTGTGTCCTGATGTTGTGTGTCGCACCTGCAGCCCCTCACCCCCAGTGTCTGGACTTCAAGCCCCCCTTCAGACCGCTGCGCGAGCTCCAGTTCTGCGTCATGTACAAGGAGTTCGGCTGCTGCGACTATGAGAAGGACCAGCAGCTGAGGGCAAAGTACTACCGGATCATGGATAACTTTGATTATTATGGATATGCCAACTGCGCTGGGTTCGTGCTGGAGATGATCTGCCAGGTAGGGCAAAGGTCTCCGTCCAGACCCTCTCCATCACCGCCTGTAGTACGAGCCAAGAGCAACACACACAGCAACACACACAGAAACACACACAGAAACACACACAGCAACACACACAGCAACACACACAGAAACACACACAGCAACACACACAGAAACACACACAGCAACACACACAGCAACACACACAGCAACACACACAGAACACTGACCCTCAGAGCTGTCACTGGGATAGGCTTTATGAATCATGAATTATTAAAACTACTTGAATTAGCATCAAACTATACTTAAAGTAGCGACAGTAAAAGTAGTGATTATACAGATTGGTCCATTTCAGAATAATATATATGATATGTTTTATAATGATTGATCATGAAAGTGTTCTCAAAGCTGGTAAAGGTGCAGCTAGTTTGAATGACTTTGTATACTGCAGGGTAGCTGGTGGATTTACTCCAGGTGGAACTAAAGTCTGATTTAACACTTGATTAGATTTCACATCATTCATCCACATCTGTGAAGTAACTAAAGGTATTAAATACATGTAGTGGAGTAAAAGTACACCATTTACATCGGAATTGTAGTGGAGTAGAAGTACAAATTAGCTGACATTGAAATACTTCATTAAAGTACTAGTCTCTCACAATTGTACTTCATTAAATCCACTTAGTTCCCTTCGACACTGCCATTAATAATACATAATGATATATTGGTTGATTTATATTCTGTCTGCAAAGTAGCTAGTAACTGAATGTGTTTAACAAAAATGTAGTGGAGTAAAAGTGTAAAGTAGCATAACATGATGAACATACTCAAAAGAAGTACAAGTACCTCAAAATTGTACTTAAGCTTAAGTAAATGAACCTCTGTACATTCCACCACTGACTAAATGCTTTATGAAACAGAACTTATTAAAACTATACCAAGGAACTTGCTGGTGGTAAAACCATCCAGGATCCACAGACCATAACACATATTTTTAACATTTTTGAATGTGTTTCCTGTGAATCCTGGATGCTTTTACCACTGGAAATAATGATGTATGAAATAATGTATTGCTCTTTCTTATGCTGCAGTTGACATGCAAGCTATAACCCTGTTATATGGTATTGGAAGTTAGTGTATTTAAGTTTCTGGTTCATGGATTGCTGGTCAGAAAAAGGGTTCAAATTATTCTTGGACGAAGTTCTTCCACTTTTTCCATAATCATTGATATAATGTTTGATTGCTTTTATCAAGTGCCAGCTTCTTGAAAGGTGTTTGAGCAATGAATTGTAGGGACTATAAGGTGTTCTAAAGGGGGAGGGGAGTAGAGAAAATGGGTCACCACTTTCGGGACCAAAGTCTCTTTCATCCGCCTGCATCCCAAACCGAGTCTTAAAGCTGTCATAACACTAAAGTAGGATTTATGAAACAGTTTAATCTTACAAAAAATGTACAATATATGAAGGCTTCCTCTATTTTAAGTTCCCAGATGATCAGCAGTCACACAAAGGAGATGTCGAGAGGAAAGGCTTGGACGCTCTGAAACCGCTGATTGAGCAACTTATTATGAGGCAGGTGTACCACTTATCTTATCATATGATATCATATATATACAATTAGTATTCCAGGCATCTCCTAATCTCACAACAGTCAGCCCCATGGGCTCCACCCTCTGTAGCCAACTTTAGAATTTGCATTTTAATGTAGGCTACTTTTCTGAAGATTAAGAACGTTTTATTTATCCATGGGTATTTCTTTAACACGCTTGGGGGGAAGACCAAGATTTGCTCAACATTTCCTAATGTTTTGTGTGCACTTGGAACACAAAAAGGGCCCTTCCCCTTAAAGGAGTTTGACATCAGAAATATGCCTTATTTACTACAGTGATCTGTAGGCATGAAACAACCAATTACATTATGTATCCTTTTAAATTAGGAGGCTTATTTAAAAAGAACTATTATTTTTCCCATCTAATAAAACCAAAACCGTCTCTTTGAGTCTGACAAACACCATTGCTTTCTGCAACTTCTACTCATGACATACATGCGTGCACTTCCTGTGTGTCCAGCTCATACAGTGTGCCATAAGTTAGTTGACAGTTATCTATCATATATTATTTTATATAATTTTACATGTTTCCTATGGCTTCTATCAACTCAAGAACCCATTCACACACATGCACACACTCAGTGCCAAACTGTTCATTCTGAGATCTAATGCCTGTAAGGGAAACTTCTGTGTAGCAATGCAGTGGGAGTCACCGACTCAGGAAGGAGACACGGTGGAGCAGGAGCTTTGATGTCAAACACATGATGGTTTATTTGGAGTTTCGGCCGGAGATTTCACATCACAAGTCCAAGAGCCAGAGGTTCTGACTTCACGGTAGAGTTGCCACGTCAATTCTAAAGAACTCTACCTCAGACCCATGTATTTAACTAGTTCTGAGAGCATCATCAACATGCTGCATAACAAGATAAAATCATAACACCTATATCAGCTGACGCCAACAGGCAGGAACATAGAATCATAACACCTCTATCAGCTGACGCCAACAGGCAGGAACAGGGAGACAGAACACTGAGAGCACAGCAGCCAAGGTTACGAGGTGCGTGTGCTCAGTCAGGACAGTTTGAACTGATACACTGGGTCAAAGTTATGGGCCTTGGAAAATATTTCCACAACAATGCCATTTACATTCTCACCAGGGGCTCAGCCTCCAGGAGCAATCCGAGGGTTCACAAAGATACATGTACACGTACCTCTACCTCTTCAGTCAAATGCAAATGTTTACTGGCCAAAAAACTAATCCTTTTATTTGCCTACGAAGATGTCTTATTCTAACAATTGATCAAAAGTCTTGTCAATGTGAACGGTGTTGAATCTTGGTGTTGAACTCAATATTATAATGCCAGGTAAAACTAACACTCAGCTGATGTTTTGTTTTAATGCCCATGTCTTTAATGTTCTAGTTTGCTCTCACTAACTATCATCAACCATGTTTCAGCAGCCCTAACCTTAACCCACTGTTAACTACCTGCCTAGCAGCAAACAGCACAGACAAAGAAAGAGACAAGCTGGTGAGCAGAGTGTGTATGAGGAGGTAATGAAGAACAAAACACAGCAAATAACTATTTAATATTGAAC